GTGTGTGTGTGTGTGTGTGTGTGTGTGTGTGTGTGGTGGGGGGGGGAGCACACGGTGGAGGGGGCGTTGGAGGTTGGTCGTGGGGAAAGAGAGACATGGGGTGAGAAGTGTCTGCTGGCAGTGACTAACAAACCAGTGACAGACTCCTTACATTAATGTGTAATTTCCACATTGGACTATAGGCTCCAAGTTCTTCACACTCACACCAACACATTGGGAATGTCATTGAGAGGTCACTGGGAATATCAATGAGGGATCACTGGGAATGTCATTGACTTCCCTGCACTGTGTAGCTTCAGTTTCTGGGTATTTTTACACATTGTAATTGTGCTACTGAGTGGAGACTGCGTATCCTGATTAGAGAATATAGGAAGAAGGTTGGGTCAGGCCATCAGTTGAGGTAAGATTAATCAACAGGATTGGGACACGAAAAGGATCTGTGCTTCTGAAGATTGTCTCTGGTCAACCGAGGCACAACAGCAAGATATCTGGAAAGTAATAAGGGCTGGTAAAACATGGCTACTCAATGGGTGTCTGTTCTGGGGAAGATGACAGCAAGAGATAGAGACTGACTGCACAATGTCTGCTTAAAGTCTGCACTAGCACCAAGCATGGTCTGACAAATAAACCTTTGACTACTTAGAAGGACAATTACCAGTAGCATGTCTCTTTTGGCTTGGATCACTTCCGAAGTATCAATCACTGGGGGTCTACTGCGTCCGAAGTAGTGAGGGATGATGGTGTAGAACTTCGAGGACAGCTCCTCCAGCTGCTTTCTGTTGGGAGATGGCTTCAAGGCTGCCTCAATCTCATCCAGTGCATCAAAACCCTTGGCAATTTGCTGTTTACTCAACTTTCCAAGAGGCATCTTCTTCACATCTGATCAGACCAACAGCAGGAGAGATAGAACTATCATTTATGCAGCCCATCATTTATCATCTCCTGAAGGGGTTTGCCTGGATAAGGATCCACTGTTCTCTCCAATTGATCTCTCTACATGTGCACTCACAGGAAGCAGCAGAAAGACTAACTGTACCCTCACTAACACACACATCTTACCAAAGAATGGGACCAACAGACAGTGAGCAGGGCAGGAACACTGACTGGAAGATTCTCTCTCTAGTTTGGAGCACTGAGCCCGTCAGCTCAGATTAGCATGGGATAGGAAACAAATGTGGGATATTCTAGGGTTCTACAATTCCGTTTTCTTCGTCACTGATGCCAAATCAGTGAAAATGGCATTCCAAGTCCTTTAGAAAAACAAATTGGGTGGGATAAAATGTTTCTTCTCAAAGCGTCAGAGGAGATTTGGTAGAGGGACTCAAAGTTAGAAGGGCTTGTGATAAAGACAGAGATCAAAAAAGGAGAAACAATTTCATTGGCCAGGGAGTCAGGGGTGTGGGGAGAAATATTCACTCTCGTTCTCTCTCACAGATGCTGCCTGACAAGCTGGAGTATCGCCAGCTTTCTCAGATTTATTTCCAATTTCCAGCAACTGCAGTATTTCCCTTCTGTATTAGTGTGAAATGACCAAATACTTTGCTTTTTTGATGTTGACAGAAGAATAAATATTGGCCAAGAGACAAGGAAGAGCTCCCTTGCTGTGCGATCTTTCACATATGTGACTTCACTTTAATTTGGTGTTCAAAAGTTCTATGGTATTGAACTTAGGATAACAGTGTATAGTACACGCTGAACCATTGGAGCTGTCTAACCATCTTTAACTTAGGAGCTAAGAACCCTCACATGTTCAACCTGAGAAAAGTTGGGGCAGCACGGTGGCTCAGTGGTTAGCACTGCTGCCTCACAGCACCAGGGACCTGGGTTCAATTCCAGCCTCGGGTGATTGTCTGTGCAGAGTTTGCATATTCTCCCAGTGTTTGCGTGGGTTTCCTCCGGGTGCTGTGGTTTCCTCCCACAGTCCAAAGATGAACAAATTAGGTGGATTGGTTACGCTAAATTCCCGTAGCGTTCAGGGATGTGTAGGTTAGGTGTGTTAGTCATGGGGATTACAGGGAAAGGGGACAGGTCTGGATGGGATGTTCTTCAGAGGGTTGGTGCCAACTTGTTGGGCCAAATGGTCTGTTTCCACATTGTAAGGATTCTTCTAAGTGTCATGTTGAGGTTGTATAGGATATTGGTGAGGCCTCGTCTGGAGTACCGTGTCTAGTTCCAGTCACTCAGTTATAGGAAGGATATTATTAAACTGGAGAGGGTTCAGAAAAGATTTACCAGGATGTTGCTGGGAACAGAGCATTTGAGTTTTAAAGAGAGGCAGGATAAGCTGTGACTTTTTTCATTGGAGTGTAGGAGATTGAGGAGTGACCTTATAGAGGTTTATAAAATCATGAGGGATATAGACAAGGTGAACAGCAGGTTCAAAACTAAGTGGCATATTTTTAAGGTGAGAGGAGAAAGATTTTAAAAAAAGATGAGGGGCAACTTTTCTTTTACACAGTGAGTGGTTAGTGTGTGGAATGAACTTCCAGGGGAAATGGTGAATGTGGGTACAGTTACAATGTTTAAAAGACATTTGGATAATTACAAGTGGTTGGAGGGATAAGGGCCAATACAGGAAAATGGGATTAGTTTAGTTTGGGATTATGGTCGGCATGGATGAGTTGGACCGAAGGGTCTCTTTCTGTGCTGTATGACTGACCCTATACCACATCAGTCACTCATTCTCCATATTAATTTACACCAGAGAACAGGCAGAATCTGCATTTCTATTGCACCTTTCGTGGGGCCACTTAACAGCTAATGAAGCAGCTTTGGATTGTAGTCACCGTAACAATGGAAGAAATGCAGGATCCAATCTGTCCACACAGTTTGTGTTATAAGGAGAGGCTGGGATTTGTTTTTGATACATAGCAGACCATCTGCTCACTGCTTGTTGTGGAACGATGAAGATGAAATTGGGAGGTCTTTCAAAACCGGCAGAGGATAACTAAAAACAAAAGCAATAAGTGGAGAGAAGATGAAATATGACAGGAAGCTAGCTAGTAATATAAAAGAAGATTGTAACAATTTCTTTTAAATATCTAAAAGAAAGAGAGAGGCAAAAGTGGACATTAGACCACTAGAAAATGAGGCTGGAGAAGCAGAATGGGGAACAAAGAAATGGCAGAAGAAATGATTGGGAACTTTGCATTAGTTTTCACAGTGGAAGATAACAACGGCAAACCAGAACTTCAACAGTGTCAGTGGCAGAGGTGAGTGTAGTGGCCATCACCAAGGAGAAGGTGCTGGGGATCCTGAAAGGTCTGAAGGTGGATAAAACATCCTGATCAGACGGACCACACCCCAGAGTTCCAAAGGAGATAGCTAAGGAGATTGTAGAGGTATTGGTGGTGATCTTTCAGGAATTACTGGAGTCAGGAGGGTCCCAGAGGACTGGAAAATACTGAATGTAACACCACTGTTTAAGAAGGGAGGGAGATAGAAGACAAGAAACTATAGGCTGGTTAGCCTGGCCTATAACCTTGGTCATTGGTAAGATTTGAGAGTCCATTATTGAGGATGGGATTGCAGAGTATTTGGAAATGCCTGGTAAAATAGGGTAGAGTCAGCACAGCCTCGTCAAGGGAAGGTCACGCCTGGCAAAGCTGTTAGAATTCTTCCAGCGTGTAACAAGCAGTGGACATGATCCATTGGGATTTCCAGAAGACTTTTGACAAGGAGCTGTGAAGGAGGCTGCTAAATAAGATAAGAGCCCATGGTGTTAGGGCAAGGTACAGGCATGGACAGCGGATTGGCTGACTGGCAGAAGGCAGGGAGTTGGGATAAAGGGGTCTTTTTCAGGATGGCAGCTGGTGACTAGTGGAGTTGGGACCACTGCTATTCATGTTATACATTAATGATCTGGACAAAGGAACTGAGGACATTATTGCTTAGTTTGCAGATGACACAAAGATAGGCAGTGGGACAGATAGTGTTGAGGAAGCGGGGAGGCTGCAGAAGGACTTGGACAGGCTAGGAGAGTGAGCAAAGAAATGGCAGATGGAGTACAATGTGGGAAATTGTGAGGTTATAAATTTTGGTAGGAAGAATAGAGACATAGACTATTTTCTAAATGGGGAGAGGCTTCAGAAATTTGAAGCACAAAGGGACTTGGGAGTCCTAGTACACTATTTCAAGGTTAACGTGCAGGTTCAGTTGGCAGTTAGGAAGGCAAATGGAATGTAAGCATTCACTCCACGTGGGCTAGAATACAAGAGCAGGGATGTACTGTTGAGGCTGTACAAGGCTCTGGTCAGACTGCATTTGGAATATTGTGAGCATTTTTAGACCCTGTATCTAAGGAAGGATGTGCTGGCATTGGTGTGTCCATAGGAGGTTTACAAAGTGGATCCTGAGGATAAAAGGCATGTCATACAGGGAGCGGGTGAAGAGTCTGGCTCTGTACTCAATGGAGTTTAGAAGGATGATGGGGGGATCTGATTGAAACTTACACAATACTGAGAGGCCTGGATAGAGTGGATGTAGAGATGATGTTTCCATTAGTAGGAGAGAGTAGGTCCCAGATGGCACAGCCTCAGGGTGAAGGGACAATCCTTTAGAACGGAGATGAGGAGGAATTTCTTCAACCAGAGGGTGGTGAATCTGTGGAACTCATTCCTGCAGAGGTCAAGTCATTGCTTGTATTTCAGTCAAAGATAGATAGGTTTTTGATTGGTGAGGGGATCAGGAGAAGGCAGGAGAATGGAGTTGAGGAACATATTAGCCATGATCGAAACATGGAGCAGATTTGTTGGGTTGAATGGCCTAATTCTGATCCTATATCTTGTGGATAGAGAAATGATCAACCCCACTCCATTTTCAGATTGTGGAGTCTTTCACATCAAACCGAAAAGGGCCTCCATTTAGTTTCTCAACTAACAGAGGCCAGCAGTGAGGCGTTCCCTTAGTACTTTTTCAGTTTGGAGCCTCTGGTTTGTGGCTCAGGCTCATAGGCAACAGCACTGTCAACCAAGCTAACCTCCCAACGGGCTGGCGCCCAGTGCTCAATCTAGGCCAGCTCGAAGGATATACACAATCTAACTACAACGTGACAAAGATAAACAGGTCTCGCCACCAACAATGCTGGAGATGGGATGCCCACGAGTGGCGGGTAGGAGAGCAGACCTCAAGAACATGACTTACGCTCAGCGTGCCATGTCTGGGACAGAGTGGAACCTTCCTGCAAGATGGCGGCGGAGTAGCAGGGCTGAACCCGGGGCTAGTCCACTTCCATCTGCTTTCTTTCTCTTTTCATTTTTCGCTTTTCCTCTTTTTCTTTTCTTTCTCCGTTTTCTTTAAAGCCTGAAGAGTGACGGGTGAAGGAGGAGGCCTCCAGCGGCAGCAATGCCAAGATGGGCCAGCCACCGTAGCCTGGGGTCTCCCGACGAGCGAGGAGCAGGTGACTCCCCTGACCTGGACTCGCAGTCTGAACTGAGGGTCCAGCTCCGTGGCCAGGCCCAGGCCCCTGAAGGAGTGGAAGCATGGGCGAACAGGACAGCAAAGGACCCCAACAACCGATGTCTGGCCACAGGGTCTGGAGGATGTGGAAAAGGAGTTACAGAGCCTACGCAATGCCCCCCATTCCCACGGCTCCAGCTCAAACACTATGGTCATGACCGTGGCCCAGACCCATAACTGAGACCTTGGAGCCTGTTTCAGAGGCACCGCTGATGTCAAGCAACAAATGGAGGAGGAACAAGAAGGGGAGAGAGAGAGAAGGATGAACTCTGCTGCAGTAAAATCTCACATCACATTCAGTGTTTCAAGATGGTGCCGGAGCACGGCAATACTTTACTTATAACACATCAGGAAACATTTTTCACTGTATTTTTATATACGTGTGATAATAAATTCAGAGGAAGGGCTTACCCAAGTTCATGGTTTGCATCTGCTCCTTGAACATATCATGACTGAAGAGGAGAGTGACCAACTCCTGAGTCGGCTTGTCTAAAGTGCAAGGTTTGACTTTCTTATTCACTGCTGTGCCTCCATCCACAGTGTCGTTCTGTAATCAAACAAGAAACAGCACAAGGATTGTCCCAGTATGTACTTAGTCCAAAAGGACAGTGCCTTCTGCTCTCCCTTGCCTAATCCTGCCTTTTAGAATCTTCCCACCCTACCCCGGACCTTCACCTTGTGGTATACTGCAATTTCTCTCTCATCCCTAACTTTCATTTTTGCTATTCCAACCATCTCAGACCTCTGTAGTGCCAAACCATCCCTTCCCCTTTAAAAAAAAACCTCTCTGGTTACTCTTAAAATTCCAAACATCACACAGTTTGCCCCTATCCTCGGTATGATGAAATTTCACAAGACCAGATTAGCCCATCCTTTCCATGGGTCTTGAACCTTCTCCCAAACCTCATGCAATCCTCCATTTCTTTGGAATCAAAATCTTTCGATTTGCCACATTTTCTCTAAGCTCTGCTTCCTTGCCTACATCCAACTTTCATCCAAAGGTCTCCAACTAAAACACTGCAGCTTTTTGGTCTTCCTGTGTCGGTGGAACCACATGAGGTGAGCTCTGCCGTAGGTGGACAAGCTTTATCCCTCCTCCTGCTGGCTCTCTCCTCCCTTAACAGCGATCACCATCAAGCACATCACGAGAGTCTATGGAGAAAACAAACCCACTGCTGACTCTGGGAGACCTGGGACTGTCACAGCCTCTTACAAAATAAAAGCAGGATAGAAGTGCCACCCCAAGCTTGACCTACCTTCACAATCATCGCTTCCTCATAGCCCTGCTGGACTTCAATCATGGTGTATTTTCCAGGGTGTGCCACAAAGGACTCTCTGTTCACCCAGTCATTCTTGGTCTTGTCTTTGAACTTCTTTTCAAAATCCTTCACAGCGGCATTCAGGACAACCGGAGAGCCCAGTTTACTTTGGCCAACTTCTCCCTGTTGAGCAGGGACAGACAAGGCATCTTAAAGATTTCACCTGGCACTCAAAGCTGCGGGAAGCCTGCCCTAAGCTTTCAGGACAGTCTTTATCTGTGTTTCCAGCTGGTTCTGTTTTTTTATTATGGAATTACTACACGAGTGCTGTTTTTATCTTTCACACGACTGCTCAACCATAAACATCTCATTGGGAATCCGCACAGGGATTTCCCTTTGCAGAGGTCGACTTTGGGAAGTTATTTTCCAGAAAAACTGGAAACCAATGGGGTGTGAAACGTCTTGTCAAGTGTGAGCTGCAGGGTAGGCAGTGTGTGACAGGAAGGAATTATGCAGAAGTGTCAGGTTTCACTCAGATGCATTCGCTAACGATAGCTTGTCAGATGTTTGTTTGCGTGTAAAGAAAAATGCTGAGCGTTCTGAGAATGGAACATATTTACACTTTAGTCCCCATGCTGAGCCAAATTCAAAGGACTCATCAGGGGCTTAAGGCCTCAACAGAGGCCTTACATTAGGAAAGGGTTACTTGGCTCCATTAAACATTACTTTCCAAAAACATTGGCTTTCATTCTCAGGCTCCAGTCCCTGGACCTGTTTTGGTCTCCTTGTTTGAGGAAGGGTGTTCTGGCTGTAGAAGGAGTGCAATGGAGGTTGACCAGATTGATTCCAGCGATGGTAGGACTGACATATGAAGAGACTGTGAGACTATAAGATATAGGAGCAGAATCAGGCCATTCAGCGCATCCAGTTTGCTCCACCATTCGATCATGACTGATATGTTTCTCAACCCCACTCTCCTTCCTTCACCCTGTAACCACTGATCACTTTCCAAATCAAAAACCTATCCATCTTTGTCTTAAATACAGTCAATCACTTGACCTACACAGCCCTCTGCAGCAATGAGTTCCACAGAGTCACCACCCACTGGCCAAAGAAATTCCTCCTTATCTCAGTTCTAAAGGGTTGTCCCTTCATCCTGAAGCTGTGCCCTCGTGTCCGAGTCTCTCCTAGTATTGGAAACATCTCCTCCGTCCACTCTATCCAGGCCTCTCAGTATTCTGCAAGTTTCAATCAGATCCCTCCCTCATCCTTCTAAATTCCATCGAGTACAGACACAGAGTCTTCAACCACTCCTTATGTGACAAGCTCTTTACACCTAGGATCATTGTTGTAAACCTGCTCTGGACCCTTTCCAACATCAGCAAATCCTTCTTCAGATATGGGACCCAAAACTGCTCACAATATTCCAAATGCAGTCTGACCAGACCCTTATACAGCCTCAGCAGTACATCGCTGCTTTTGTATTCTAGCCCTCTCAAAATGAATGCTACCATTGCATTTGCCTTCCTAACTGACAACTGAACCTGCGCGTTAACCTTAATAGAGTGCTGAACCAGGTCTCCTAAGTCTTTTTCTGCTTCAGATTTCCGAAGCCTTTCCCCATTTTGAAAATAGTCCACACATCTATTCCTCCTACCAAGTGCACGACCTCATACTTTCCCACATTATATTCCATCTGCCACTTCTTTGCCCGTTGTCCAAGCCTGTTCAAGTCCTTCTGCAGCCTCCCTGCCTCTTCAACGCTGTCCGTCCCTCTGCCTATCTTTGTGTCATCTGCAAATGTAGCAAGCATGCCCCTAGCTCCCTCATCCAGAGCATTAATGTGTAATGAAAATAGCTGTGGTCCCAACACTAACCCCTGCTGAACTCCACTAGTCACTGGCTGCTGTCTTGAAAAAGACCCTTTTATCCCCAATCTCTGCCTTCGGCCAGGCAGCCAATCCTCTATCCATGCCAGCACCTTGCCCTAACACCATGGGCTCTTTTGTAGCAGTCTCCTATGTGACAAAATCTTCTGGAAATCCAAACAGATCACATCCACTGGCTTTTCTTTGTCTAACTTGCTCGTTAGCTCCTCAAAGAATTCTAACACATTTGTCAGGCATGGCCTCCCCTTGGCTCAGTCCTATTTTACCGTGCACTTCCAAGTACTCCACAATCTCATTCTTAATAATGGACTCTAAAATCTTCCCAAAGACCAAGGTCAGACTAACCAGTGTAAGAGTCCCTGTCTTCTGAGTCCCTCCCTTCTTAAAACAGCGGGTGATACATTTGCGAGACTAGATCTGTTTGGACTATTCACTAGAGCTCAGCAGAATGAGGGGGATCTCATAGAAACAGAAAAAATTCTCACAGGACCACACAGAGTGAGCACAGGAAGGCTGTTCCCAATGACTGGAAGTCCAGAACCAGGGGTCACAGTTTAAGGATACGGGGTGGGCCATTTAGGACTGAGGTGAAGTGAAATGTCTTCACCCAGAGAGTGGTGAGCCTATGGAATTCACTGCCACAGAAAATGGTTGAGTCCAACACATTGAATGCTTTCAAGAAGGAGTTAGATACAATTCTTGAGGCTAAAGGTATGGGAAGAAAGTGGAAACAGGATGGTGAGTTGGATGTTCAACCATGATTATGTTAAACTGTGCAGCAGGCTCAAAGGACTGAAAGGCCTACTGCTGCTCCTAGACTCCGTGTTTCTAGGGATTCACGGGAGGGTCACAGGGTCCTGAAATAATCAGAATTCAGCATTTCACTCCATTTCCAGTGCTGCAGCCATACTTGCCCCACTCGGAAAGTTCCAGGCAGCAGTGGCTGCAATTCCACCTGGGAATTCTACATGATGTGGGATACTCATTTCCCTCTGGGTACTGCAGCGCGCGCACACACACACACACACACACACAGAGTTACGCAATGCAGCCTCCCACTGTGCAGGATGACGCATGGGATAATGTTAGGCACGGAATGCGTTGTTCACATCAGACTGTTTCTATTATCCTGGAGACCCCTTCCCTACTGCACACGGGGAAGAGTGTGAAGATATAATGTCAGATTGTTAACCACTTTGCCGATCCTCTCCACAATATTCTCCAAAGGAACAGAGTGATTAGGCAAAACAAAAACCAACAACGTATTTTTGTGAACTGTGTGTAATATAGTCGTTAATGAGTAACAAGAATATGTTGGGTTAGGAGGTCATGTACAGGACATTGGTCGGACTCTTTTTGGAATACTGAGTTCAGTGTAGTTGGTCTCCCTGCTATAGGAAGGATGTTGTGAAACTCAAAAGGTTTCAAAAAAGATTTACAAGGATGTTGCCAGGGCTGGGGCTATTTTCTCTAGAGTATCAGAGGCTGAGGAGTGACCTTGTAGAGTTTTATAAAATCATGAGGGGCATGGATAGAGTGAACAGCCAAAGTCTTTTCTCCAGGGTAGGGGAAGTCCAAAACTAGAGGGTATAGGTTTGAGGTGAGAGGGAAAAGGTTTAAAAGGGACCCAAGGGGCAGAGGGCGGTGGGTGTATGGAATGAGCTGCCAGAGAAAATGGCAGAGGTGAGTACAATAACAACATTTAAAAGGCACCTGAATGGGTACATGAATAGGAAGTGTTTAGAGGGATATGGGCCAATTGCTGGCAAGTGGGGCTAGATAAATTTAGGATATCTGGTCAGCATGGATGAGTTGGACTGAAGGGTCTGTTTCCGTGCTGTACATCTCTAGCGCTCCATTTAACTACGTGCTCCTGCCTCTCCCCCACCACCACTGGCCCAGACCCTGCTCCGTCACCCTGTCCCCCATCCCAGACCCTTCTCTGGGAGCATAATCGGAAAGGCATTTGCTCCCTGTTCAGGATGTGAGCAGAGGGTTTAAGTGTGGGGATTAGACAGTTCGACAGACCTTGAGGCATATCCATCATTCAATGAGATTATCAATAGAATCCCTACAGTGTGGAAACAGGCCCTTCAGCCCAACAAGTCCATACTGACCCTCAGAGCATCCCACCCAGATCCATCCCTCTATAACCCACCGAATCTACACATCCCTGAACACTACAGGCAATTTCGCATGGCCAATCCTCCTAGTCTGCACATCTTTGGAATGTGGGACGAAACCGGAGCACCCGGAGGAAACCCATGCAGACACGGGGAGAATGTGCAAACTCCACACAGACATTCACCCGAGGGTGGATTCGAATCCGGGTCCCTGGCACTGTGAGGCAGCAGTGCTAAACACTGTGCCACCGCGCCGCCCTTAACAGGAAGGTGGGAACTCCTTCGAGCTGGAGTGTTCAGATAATCCTCAATTCTACTTTTGTGCCTTTTCCCCGTGCCTCTTGACGCCCTTTATTTGAAAAAGGACCTCAGCCTTGAATATACTCAGCAACCTAGCTGTCTGCAGTAAAGAATTCCACATATTCATTTCCCCTCTGACAGAAGATGTCCCTCACCTCTGTCTGAGGTGGTGCCTTCTGTTCCAGGACTCTCCCACGACGGGGGACACAACCTCTCCCCATCTACCCCATCATCTCTCCTCAGAATTTTGTTTTATTTCAACAAGGACACCTCTCATTCTTCTAAACTCCAATGAGGTACAGGCCCCACCTTCTCAACCTCTCCTTGCTGGAGAGTCCCTCCATACCCGGTGCTCCTCTGGACTGGATTCGGGTGGTGGGTTCACAGATGGGTGAAGGACTTGGTGCCAAAGCTACTTACCACTCGACCCCAGCGGTTCCAGCAGTAATACGAGCCATTGAGTTCGATCAGCTGGATGATGTAGAACTTGTTGTTATTGTTTCCGATGTTGGTTTGGTTCAACATGCAGTCGTAGTCCTCGTGAATCTGGAGCAGAAGGTATGAGTTACGATCTATGTAGTAGGAAAGCCCTTACTGCTGTGGTACACATGGTAAAGGACTGTGTCTGTCCTTAACTGGGTTTTAGAGACTGGCGAGGTGGATAATATGGGGTGGACCTGGCAGGAGGCCAATATCGCACCTACCTCAGCCAATGTGTCGGTGCTCAGAGGACAGTGCTCGTCTATCTTAGCTTTAGCCTTGACGCTCGGAGCAGCTTTTAGAGCTTCAACAGTGGACTTGACATTATCTTCCTCCGGCTCAACTTTGACCTTCTTCTGCTTGGCATTTGATTTGGTGGCAGCCGACTTCCTCTTTGGGGGCATGTCTGGAAAACGGGAAACTGGACAGGTTAAAGGCAGCAGAGGAAAAGAAGGAGCGTGGGCGAGGGACGGGGAGAAAGAGATCACGGCCGGGCTGGTTTCTTTAGGGGAGAAAGAGTGCGAGAGCGAGAGAGAGAGGGAGAGAAGGAAGTTGAGAGTGAGAGCAACAAGAGTGAGAGAAAGAGACGGTGAGGGAGACTGGACTTCTGGGGAAAATGTGGCATTGTGTCTAGGATCGCTTTTGAACTAAAGTTCGACATCCCACGTTTCACTCCTCTCCCCCCGACCCACTCCCCTCCTTATCGTCACACTCCCACGGCTCAGGTGCTGACAGAGAATCACTTTCCATAGCCTGGTGCCTCCAGCTACCTTGGGTTCCAGCCTAGGGTGATTGGTCAAGTCTATTGGACTCTTGCTGAAGTGTTAATGGATAGTGAGTGAATCAGGATGTCACCCCACAGCCGCAGGCACTCCCATAACATTGAACCTGAGACAACAGGAGCAGGAGTAAGCTATTCAGCCCTTCAGATTCATCATGGCTGATCATCCAACTCAAAACAAAAGCCCGAAGAACTGCGGATGCTGTAAATTAGAAACAACAACAACAACAGAAATTGCTGGAAAAACTCAGCAGGGTCTGGCAGCATCTGCGGAGAGAAATCAGGGTTAATATTTCGGGTCAAGTGACCCTTCCTCAGAAGTTCCACAGAGTTTTGAGGAAGATCGCACAACTCAAAAACATTAACCCTGATTTCTCTCCATCGATGGCGCCAGACTATCCAACTCAAAAAACCCTGTTCCCGCTTTCGCTAAATTCTCCCCTTTCAGACCAAAAGAATGGCATTTAAGTTCTTCTTGAAAACAATCAACATTTTGTTTCACAGAACGCAAGCAGACACCTTCCTGAATCCAAATTCACAGTGAGCTGGGTGACATGTGAGGGTTAAGGAGGAGCCAAGGTGTAAGGGGCTGGATGTGTTGTGAACACTGGGTATCCCAGATTATCCATGAATGGTAGATTTAATAACCATCTCTGCTTCATGGAAACGTTGATGTGAATTGAGTGCTTATACCTACCCTGGGGCAAAAAAAAATGATTGAAGCATTCCGAAAATACCAGATGGCTTTTTTCAAACAAAAAATTAATTTTCAATGTACCCACACAGTGAAAATGACCTCAAAACATAAAGCTGTGGGAGGCTGATAGCACCAATTGAAGGTCGCTCAGCTCCTGGTGCCTCAAACAATCCATGTTGTCCCAAAAGTCCCTTCTCTGTCACCAGAACCCAGAATCAGCACTCTGGGTCATGGCCAGGCTTGATATCTGGCCCCTTTTTGGTCAAACACATCCTTGAGTGCCACACCCTGGCTCTGGTAACACCTGGCAGCACTGTTCAATTCTGCAAGGCCAGTGTATGATGTGGAAACATTCACTTTTTAAAATGTATTCATCGGCAATAAAACAAAGAAACCTCAAACCCTTCAGCTCCTTTTAAAATAAGCAGCTTGGGATGACAAATCATCATTAACGCTCTTTCATTCCAAAATGATCCCGATCTGGGTCGAATTATCTTGAACGGTTAACGACCCGCCAGGACGCCTTGAGAAGATACATTAAAAATTTAAGCTGATCTCGAAGCTGCCATTTTGCCTCATTCCTGAAATGAAGCTGGACGTCAAATGCAAAGGCAGCCGGAAATGAGGCCTCCCATTAAAGAGCTAAATGTTTGCCCCCTCCATGGAGTTCAGTTATAGGGAATGCTGGATCACTGAGGCTAAAGTGTGGAACATTGTCAATCTTAGTGACCAAGCCTCCAAGAAAAGAGGGTGGACTGAGGTTGCCTCAGCCCCACATTTACTCAGCCTCAGGCTTCTGAGCTACTGTACCTCCTGTTGTCACACAACTATCTCCCCCTTCCACTCCCACCAAATCATCCTGATATATGGCTCTCCTCATCACTCAGAAGCAGAGAACTGTTCACTGAGAACTGTCGACGTGACGTTAGTCGCCTCAATTTCTCTGCCCCTCTCACCAAATCCAACCTACCTCCCTCTGAACTGGCTGCACTCCGTGCACTCAGATATAGCCCTAACTTTGTCATCAAGCCTGCCGATAAGGGCGGTGCTGTTGTTGTCTGGCGTACTGACCTCTACCTTGCAGAGGCTGAGCACCAGCTCTCAGATACCTCCTCCCACCTTCCCCTGGACTATGACCCCACCATGGCACATCAGGCCATTGTATCCACTACGGTTACTGATCTCATTTCATTCGGTGATCTCTCCCATTCCGCTTCCAAGCTAATAGTCCGCCAACCCCACACAGCTCGTTTCTACCTCCTGCCAAAAATCCACAAACAGGACTGTCCAGGCAGAACCATTGTTTCAGCCTGCTCATGCCCCACAGAACTCATCTCTTCCTACCTTGACTCAGTCTTCTCCCCCTGGTCCAATCCCTGCCCACATACATCCATGATTCATCTGACGCCTTACGCCAGTTTCAAAACTTCCAGTTTACCGGCTTCAGCCACCTCCTTTTTACCATGGATGTGCAATCCCTTTACACATCCATTCCCCACCAGGAGGGTCTTAGGGCTTTCCGCTTCTTCCTGGAGCAAAGACATGAACCATCCCCATCCACCACCACCCTCCTCAGCTTGGCCGAGCTTGTCCTCACCCTCAACAACTTCTCTTTCAACTGCTCTCATTTTCTTCAGGTCAGAGAGGTTGCCATGGGTATCTGCATGGGACCTAGTTATGCCTGTCTCTTTGTGGGGTACGAGGAACATTCCTTGTTCCAGTCCTATTCTGGCCCCCACCAACAACTATTTCATTGGTGCTGCTTCCCTCTCTTGTCTGGAATTGGAAAACTTCATCAATTTCGCCTCCAATTTCCACCCTGCCATCACGTTCACCTGGTCTATCTCTGACTCTTCCCTTCCCTTCCTCGATATTTCTGTTTCCATTTCTGGGGATAGACTGGCCTCTAATATCCACTATAAACCCACTGACTCCCAAGCTACCTGGACGATACATCCTCACACCCCACTTCCTGTAAAGACTCCATCCCATTCTCTCAGTTCCTCCGTCTCCGTCGCATATGTTCAGACGAGGCCAACTTCGACAAGGGAGCCTCCGAAATGTCCACCTTCTTCCTCCACTGAGGATTCCCCAGCTCCGTTGTTGACAGGGCCCTCAACCAGGTCCAACCCATCTCCCACACTTCCACCCTCACCCCTTCTCTTCCCTCCCGTAACAGCGATAGGGTTCCCCTTATCCTCACCTACCATCCCACCAGCATCCACATCCAGAAGATCATCAGGCACCATTTCCGCCACCTCCAGCAAGGTGCCACCACCAGACACATATTCCCCTCCCCTCCCCTCCCTTGTCCACCTTCTGCAGGAACCATTCCCTCTGGGACACCGTGGTCCACACTTCCTTCACCTCCAACATCTCCCCACAGCCCTACGGCACCTTCCCCTGTAACCGGCGAAGGTGCAACACCTGCCCATTTACCTCCTCCCTCCCCACTATCCAAAGACCCGAACATACCTTCCAGGTGAAGCAACACTTCACCTGCACTTCCCAGAATCTAGTCTACTGCATTCGCTGCTCACAATGCGGTCTCCTCTACACTGGGGAAACGAAGCGTAGACTCGGAGACTGTAACACCTACATTCTGCTTGCAAAAAAGAACCAACTGTTGCCTGCCACTTTAACGCACCACCCTGCTCCCTGGCCAACATCTCTGTCTCCGGCTTGCTACAGTGTTCCAGTGAAGCCCAACGCAAGCTGGAGAAACAACACCTCATTTTCTGCTGGGGGGACCCTACAGCCCTCCGGACTCAATATTGAGTTCAATAATTTTAGGGCCTAAACTCTCCTATGTCCCAGCCCCCTACCGTACACACTAGGCCTTTTTACCACATAGCCTGCTATTACAGACTACCTGTTGTTAGTCACTAACAGTCCCCATTGACAACTATTCAACCTCCCAGCTTGATTGCTAGCAACTCCTTTATCTGTCCAACTGTCTCTCTCGCTCTTTGGTCTATCCTATCATGTACTCCCTCCCCTCTCCACCTCCCTATTTTCTGCATATAAACTGACGTTTTCCCAGCCTCCATCAGTTCTGAGGAAGGGTCACTGGACCCAAAACATTAACTCTGTTTTCTCCTCCACAGATGTTGCCAGACCTGCTGAGCTTTTCCAGCAACTTTTGTTTTTGTTTCAAAGTAATGCTTTTGTTCCTGATTTACAGCATCCACAGTTTTTAACACCCAAAAATCAAGTCTCTCAACCTGAAACGGTAACTCCACTTTCTCTCCACAAATACTGCCCCATCTGCTGTATTTTCCCAGCATTTCCTGTTTACATCCAGGATCAACAACCAATCAGCCAATCACAGCCAAAACTGTGGGGTCCAGGAACCAATCATAGTCAAGCATGTGGGCACTGGGACCCAATCACAGTCAGGATTGTGGGCACTGGGAC